TTTTCCTTAGTAGTTTTTACTTTTCTAACTGCCAACTGACATGCTGAATAAATCCTCCTCCTTCTAACGGTTATATTAGGCTCATGAATTCAGTGACCTCCATAAAATCATAAAGGATTTTAGAGAGAGAGCCCATAATGAGAGTATTGTTCCTTACTTTACTCTGGTGTCTCCATGATTATCTGGATTCGAATCCTGCCGTAGAAGGTTAAGATTTTGGTTCGTCCCAAATCAATATATGAATTTGAGCCATTGATTCAATATTTAGATTCGAGTACTTCTACTATGGATGATTTTATTTTTATTTTTGTTCTTCTCACTCAGTATATAGGTTCGTGTCGATGTCGGCAACTTCATGCTTTATAGTATGATAATCGAAGCTATTCCGAGCTTACCTCAATGTAAATTCTGCGTTGAAATATATATATCTTTACATGTTGTGGCACGATATACTATGCTGGGAGTTTGGGATGATCCTCTGGATGCCTTAAATTTTCTGTACAATTAATTAAACGCCAGAAATAGAATAACTGTTTTAAAAAAATTTATATGTCAACTAAAGATATGAATTTGATTGATAAATTAATGTATATTATTTTGACAAAATGAAATTCGGCTGGCAGTACGTAGAAGGAGCATCTTTTTCATGTTATTTCTTATCCGTCTCTAATGTGATCATGGATATTTTACGTACGTTGTGATCTAGATTTACATATCAATGTCAAACAATAATGATGATGAAGAAGATGAATTTGCAATCTCTTTATGTGTATTTACTTGTCTCTTTGGGTAGTGAAGTAGTCATATTGCATAGAACATGCTAGCCATCATTCTACGATCAGAAAGCATGAAGCTATTATCCTAAGAGAATAATTTCGGCGAATAAAGACTTTTTGCCACAAAATTTACAGACAAGTACATGGTTTAACATGACATTCTCATCTTCAACAAATAGCTTTTTTTCCCCCTTGGTTTCACGGCTAGATGGATGTAGCACAATCCGAAGCAGCTTTGGCTAAGCCTTCCTTTCTAGTTTCACCATTATTCATTTCCGTTCTAAATACAAGCTCATAATTTATGCGCTCTCTCATTGAGTTAATTCAACATGATGTAAGCCCTTTAGGACATTGAAGTTTTGAGCAAGTAGCTGGTTCAGCATCGAGAGATTTCACCACCACCACGAAACCTTCTTCGTTCGTGTTTAAGCTCGCAACGGCAATAATAGTCCTCCAACTCTGCGGTCTCTGTCAGCTTCCTCATCTCCATCTCAGCTATATATGGCCTAAAATATTGAGCAATCATAGTGTTTATTATAGCAGCAGGCTTTCTGTTACCGCACTTGGTGAATTTGCACGACTAGTCTTGCCATCCTGCTGCACACCTAAAACTCTGGCTGCAAGAGGAAAAAGGATGGAAACAATGCTTCTTTAATGAATATTTAGCAAATAGAAAACAACACTGATATATATAAACATGGAGAACTTGCTTACCTGCAGATAAATCAATGGGGTATAAAAGGCGAATGGTAAGTGTCATTCTGGCATGTGAAAGTACTTTTGTTGTAAAATATTCTCTAACAAAGCTTGAATATGGACAGCAAATTTAATCTGGTCTTCTAATACGCTCGTTGACCTTGTTTAAGAACCATTTTTCCAGCATAATGTTACGATGAAAGTGCAGTCCTTCCTAATAGCTAAAGTTAACCGCGTGCACTAAGGTAGCCATCAACTGCCTTGCATTGCATGGCTCAAGCTTACACAATTTCTGCTCTCAGTCTCTATTAATACTCCACGTACATTGAACCATTTTTGGCGTTGTTAATTTCACTCTTTACCAAAGTGGTGTCATTATCAACAGCATGAGCCATTGGCTGCAGGACATGACCTATTGATTCCACATACATGATTCAACTCTCTATAGTGAATGATCGATGCATTTCATCTTAAAACACAGTATTGGTGCAAATGGCATCTTAATAAAACCAATTTAGGATAAGATTAGGTTAGGTTTGGTTAAATGAGTTGATTTTCTTATGAAAGTAGACAACAATGCTAGGGATTGTAATGCCATGTCATGAAACCATCTTAATTCAATAATTTAAATTGTTAGGTTAGGTATGAGGATATAATTTATATTATTTTCTAATATATCCTTGAAACTTGCACAGGTTTATATTACTTTATGCTTAATTTTTATTAAATAAATAGAAATGATGAAATTCGAATCTGTGACTACTTAGTCATCAAGACTTTGATATCATGTCATGGAACCATCTAAACCCAATAACTTAAGCTGTGAGGTGTCAAAGAATCATCTCAACCCAAAAACTTAAGTTGTTAGTGGAGGTTCCAAAATATAATATACATTATTCTCTAACATACCCCTTAAAGTGAAAGCCTTTTAGGCTTAAAACTTGCGACCAACATTATCTTATGCTTAATTTTTATAAAATAAATAGGGATAATGAGATTCAAACTCGAGACCGCTTGGTCATTAAAGCTCTAATATTATGTCAAAGAACCATCTTAACCTAAAAACTTAAGCTATTAGATGAGGTCTTAGGATATGATTTATATTATTCTCTAAGTTGTTAGATGAGGTCCTAAGATATGATTTATATTATTCTCTAACATTGCTTTTGGGTTGAAATGGTTATTTAACATGGTATCAGAACTTTGATGACCAAGCGATCACGAGTTTGAATTTCACCATTCTCATTTATTTGATAAAAAATTAACCATAAGTTAATATAGACTGTGCAAGTTTCAAACCCAAAGAGTTTTTAATTAAGAAGGTATGTTAGAGAATAATATGAATCATATCCTAAACCTCACCTAATAAATTAAACTTTTGAGTTAAGATGGTTTTTTAATCCAATGTCCTGTGAAAATAGATGCTAAAATTCAAATAACAAAAAATTGTTCATGATGTGTGATAGCTGTTCATGTTGCTTGCTTACTGTTCAATAGTGTTACTGCTTCTCTAACTCCTTTTAGTGTCATATTGTATGGTAATGGACGAAGCTTATCACTTCTCATGGAGGGCCAAGTCAAGGAATATGAAAACACATCTACCCTCTTCTTGTTGGCACTCAATATCATGGCAATTGGATGGTGGAAGTCATACCAATAATATAATTCACGGCACCTTCTTTAAGTTGACCACTCAACCTTTCCATATCTTCCTTCATAAACTTTAATCCTCTTCTCCTAGAAAGATTCGACGATAGCTTAACACTCCAACTGTCTCCTTTTCTCTATGTTGCATCAAAGATTTTTAAATAGTACTTAATTCCTTGTCTAAAGTCCTTGTACATTAGAAATTAGGCTATTGTTTTCCAATCCGAGACCTTGTAACCATGCAAGGAGAAAAAAAAAACTCTATTCAGACCTGGATACGTTATTCAAAATTTTAGCGAACTTCTTCAGGCCCTTGATGATGATTGACTTTGTTGTGAGCCATTAATTTGTGTGGCAAAATAGTTTTATTCTACCCGATGATGCTGTCGATGAAATATAAATCACATTAGCCAAAATGGCTAGAGAACCAAGAATGGAATCATTATTAGAGATAGCAATCTGTTGGTTGGAGTTTACCTCTTATTATTACCGAACCATGGGAGTGCTGACATTACAGCGTTTCGTTATTGATTTTTTTTTTTTGATAATCCTCAATTTTATTAAAACATGGCTATTTAGACCGTGGTCATAAAAACAGATGAAAACACTTCCATTAAAATATATATATATAAAAAAAATAGATCAAACAAATAAATACTATGCTGATTTGTCCAAAACTTAATGTTATATGCACTTATTAGAAAATTGAATTTTGAATATGCAAACCGGTGATTATAGTACTTCAGTCAATAAAAAAAATAAAAAAACAAGAAAGACTAAGCTAAAGCAGAAATCAGATTTGCAGTGCTCTTTAAAAAAAAAATTATTTTGAATTAGTTATATATTTCAAGTTGTGTAGAAAAATAAAAGCTTCTAAGCATTTTTTCTAAAATTTCTAGTAATCAGCGCATATCATTAATATAACATATCATCCAAATATTTAGAAAAACATCCACTAATTCCTCATCAATATAAAAATTTTATTTAAATATTTCAAGCAAAATTATAAAAAGATAATAAGTGTTCTCAATACTTATACTACCAGGATTGCAAATTACTTGAGCCTCTAGCACTGCATGATAATAAAATAAGAAATTCTTCTAGTTGGATTTATTTTAAATAACTAGCCAAATAAAACATGGAATTTTTTGAAGATAAATTCTTCAATCAAACATATGTTTGAAAATAAAGATTCCCTCCATTTATAGCAGCACAACATGTCTTCATCAAAAAGCTTCCATCACTGGTTGCTGTACAAATTTTCTTGTCATTATTGAATATGTTATCTGTATGGTATCTGAAAATGATACAGTACTACATCATTTCTCTAGATCCTAACACATTCTCTGGCATGGCCAGAAATTAATATTGGATCCTCAACTTCGCTGCAAAGGAATATGTATATATACTGTCCTGGAATTCAAAAGGGCATCTTGTTTCCCAACTTAGAAAAATTGACTTAATTAGGGCCCCAATCTTATGCTGACCTCAGCTGATAATGCATTATCAGATTATAAAATACTCACAGTTATGGTACGTGGTACATATGACATGCACATTTACATCTTATATTAGTTTAATCTTTCACAGATATTATTCCTTTAAGGGGAATAAAAACCAAAACTTGTCCATTCTGCTGTTTTTTTTTTTCTAATTGTGAAAAGAAACTTTGATCTGAAGCTCTTGTATACAGTACTGGAATTTTAATTGGCTTAGTTACTTTGCAAATCATTATGATGAATTTAGTTATATTACTCAATTGGTCACCCGAGAAGGGACAAGCTGGCATGCTTATGATCAGAAGGTGCTACATTTGCATGGCATCTAAGATTGGAAGCATCTTTAGATCAGAAGATATGGTGGAAGTTGAAGATTCTCTACAAAACCCAATAGAGCTACAAAGAGTAACTTCTCATTATTCATTTTCTATAATACATCCCATAATTTATGCACTCTCTCACTGAGGCTCTCCTTACTTAACACTCCACATTAATACATATCTTTTATTTCAATATATAGGCCTTTTATTTCGGCATTGAAGTTCTGCACGTAGTGCTGGTTAAACAGTCATCAGGGGTGTGGTTCGTGTTTAGGATTAGGCACCGGATCTTTTTGGTAGTCCACCATAGCCTCCATCTCTGTGAGCTTTCTCATTTCCACTTCATAAATGAGCTACGCCATATAAACATATTACAACAGAAGAGTTTGATCAATCAACAACGACTAATCAATGATGATGCCAATTATGCAGCTGTGATATATATGTTATATCCCTTGTAATTAGGACAGGACCCGAAATCCATCTAGGCTTTCGGATAGTCTGAACTTGAACTGGAACAAGCATCGATGGATTGGTCATCTCAGATGAAATTCAAGCAGTATCAAGTCATGTTATAAAGTATATATGGTTTATTGTTGAAAATAACAAATAATTAAGGCGTGGCATGTACGGATATAGTTGCGTAGGCTAGTACTGCTTATTAATAAAGTCTTGTTACCTCACTTGGTGGATTTGGCAGAACAGGGCCCTCCTGGATGCCTGAAAATCTGGCTGCAAGAGTCAAGAGTGAAAGAATGGAAAACATGTTACTTTAATCATTACGAAATAATAAGGTGATTTTACATGGAGAACTAACTGCATGCTCACCTGCAGATAAATCAATGAAGAGGAGGAGGAGGAGGATGAGAAGAATAGTTTTGGTCTGAGAACCCATTGTAAATGATCTGGTGATATTGTTGTTATAGGTTCTGAGAGGACAAAGGATGTGTTAAATTTATAGGGACAGAACCATGTAAACACTTCATGGTGCAGACTGCACTCAATAGCTTTGTAGAATGTAATGATTAAAAATGCAACAGCCATTAGCAAGAACACAACCAAGTCAAAGGCACTAACTTGTGACCTCAAGAGTCAGGTCCTCCTGTTCTCCAAAAGCTAAATTGATTAGGTCGAAAACAACTGACTTTGCATTTGCAGGGCTCACGCTCTATACATCAATTCATCTTAGTTGGATACATTATTTCTTTAGCAATTCCCTTCGTTTCACTAGTCTCAACCATTCTTTCCAGTCCATTCATTCTCCACATCTGTTGAACCCATTTTGGCTTTATTTCAGTACTGTTTAGGACAGTGTTGTCTTTATCAATAACATGAGCCATTGGCAGGAGGGGCCATGTTAAAATGTGGTGGTGATGTAAGAAGATAGTAAGAGAAAAATATTTTGAAACTGATCACAGCTAACTTATTTCTACATTCTCAACTCAAGCATTTACATAAATATTTATACAACTCTTGGTACGTACATGCACAACTCTTATAATAATAATCTCTAATATATGTACCATATTAATACGTACAAACAATAAACCAAATACAAAGTTACTAATTATGTGATTAATGCATAAACTTTCCTAAATGTATACATAAACCATTGCTAGAGCACATCTTCTAACGTACCTCCTGAAACTTGTTTCTAGATAACTCCTACCAGATCAGCTCTTAATCTGCATAAATCTCCATACTTCAAAGCCGTTGTAAGAATATTTACAGCTTGATCCTTGAACTTCAAATAACTCATTTTCACCTTCTTCTTGCTTATGCACCTTCTAATAAAGTGATATTTGGTGTCGATATGATTGCTTCTCTAATAAAAAAATGGATTTTTTTCCCAAAGAAATTGCAGACTAATTCTCAGTAAAAATCTCTACATTATCCTTTTGAGGCGTGTGCATTGTCTCCAAAATTATCCTTAACCATACACATAAAAAATACAAAAGAAGTTGCTCCCATATATATATTCAGCCTCAGAGTCACAATTGCTTGTTTTTTTGAACTTCATATGAAAACAGTATCTCTCTCCCTCAATCACTGCGATTGTAACGAACTAACTTGAACTCTTTGTAGAACAATAGTGTAAACCATAAGAAACGGTCCCTTTAGTAGACTTGAAGTGTCCGTCTTGTTACTTTTAGATGTGTTGTAGTATGAGCTTCTATAAAATGACTGACAGCTGTAACTCCAAGAAAAAATGTTTTGTCGACGAGTGCAAGTTAGAAAACTCAAAATGCCAACAAGCCTTCTCACCATCTTCATGCTTTGACGACTTTGCACAACATTCAACAGGAATATTCATAGGTTTTGAGCTCTTCATATTGAACTCATTAAAAGTCTTCTTTGCGTAGCTCTCTTGAGAAATAAAAATGTTCCATTGAACTTGTTTTATCTCAATGTTAAGATAATAAAACACGAGTCTACTATCCAACATTTCAAACTCTTGTATTATGGCCTTTCTAAAATCATCAAACATGGCTAGATTGTCACTTATAAAGATCAGATCAGCAACATAAAATCAAGCAATTAAAATTCCAGCATTCTTCTTCTCTTTGACATAAAAAGTGTACTTATTAGGACATCTCACAAGCTTGTTCTCTTTAAAGTAATTTATAACACGGCTATATCAAGCCACTGGTGATTGCTTCAAACCGTGTAATGCTTTTTTCACCTTCATGCCCCTTTTACAACATAATCCAGAGGTTGTTCTAGACACACTTCTTCCTCAAGATATCAATTTAAAAATATGGACTACACATCCATTTGATAAATCTTTCATCTGTGTTGGGCTGCCAAAACTATAAGAAATCAAATGGTTTCTATACGGGAGAAGTCGAGTCTTGTATCTATCCACTTAATTCACCTTTAGCATCCTTCTTAACTTTTTAACCCCATTTTACTCCGGTAGTCTTCTTTCCACTTGAAAGTTTTGTTAACTATCATGCATCATTCTTATCTATTGTCTTATTTCCATATTCATTACAGTTCTCCACTTTTCTTCTTTAATATCCTCTTTGAAATTTAAAAGCTCTAAATTTGCAAACAAATAAAAAAGTATTGAATTATTAATTTCTGTTATTTCTGCATAAGTTTCTTGAAGGCTTCTTATACGAAGAGGATGGACAAAGGAGCTTGTTTGAGGAGATACACCACTGTGAATAGATGTTGAAGAGTTTGGTGGAGTAACAAAAACTGATACAATTATTTGACTAAATTCTTTTTCAAACATAGATAAACAGTTATGCGTCTCATCCTAGACATTCCAATACCAGGACGCATCTTCATCAAAGTCCACATCTCCATTAATCAAAATCCTCTCATTACTGGGATTATACAGCTTATAGCTTTAAGAATTCGAGTCATGGCCGACAAAAACAAGCTTCTCACTTTTTCATCCAACTTTGATGTTTTTTTCATCTGAAATGTGAGAATAAAAAATGATGTAAAATCTCGTAAATTGAGAAATTCTAGGCTTCGTTCCACGTCATGCTTCTTAAGGTGTGATATTCTTCGTATTTGTTGAAGGAATATGTTGATAAGCATACAACATCAGCTACTACCTCAATTAAAAAAAAAAACATTTTCTTTGACTTCAACATATTGCAAATCATATTGAGAATGGTTCTATTATTTCTTTCAGGTGACCTTAGAACAGTTAGAGGACATCAAAGACCATGATAATCATACAACTCATGAAATTCTTATGAAGTGGGTTCTCCTTCTCTGTCAGACCTCGAAGCTTTAATAGCATAGCCACTTTCTTCTCCACTTACGCCTTGAGTTTTTAAATGCTCCAAAGACTTCTAACTTTTTATTCAAAAAGTAAACTCAGATTCTGTGACTAAAACCATCAATGAAAAGAATAGAGTAGCTAGTTGCTTTTACCAAATGAAGTTGACTTGATAGGTTCACAGGCATATCCGAGTACACTAATTGGAGTGGTTCAGTGGCTCTTCAAGTGACTTTTTTTAGAGAAAGAATTTTGGATTACTTGCTATAATACAACCTGCACAAATCTAATAGGGAAGATCAATAAGAGGTAGTTTATTCACCATTTTCTCCTTTGCTGATAGTTTCAGCCCAGAATAGTTAAGATGGCCACCTCTCTAATGCTAAAGCCAAGAAGAATCACTTGAACAAGATTTTAAACATTTCGCACTATCAATCTGAATTGTAGCAGTTATCCTATTCTTTTCCATAACAACTCTAGTAATCAACTTCCATTTTTTACATCTTATAGTGAGGCAATGATTTTTCATATCAATCCCATATCCTTTCTTAAGAGGGGAGTCCAAACTCATTATATTATTCTTCGAGGTATAATAAACATGGCGAATAAAACTCATTTGCTTCATTCTTTAGCCGAACAAAAATGTCATCTTTGCTTTTAATCTGCACCTTGTTATGATCATTAAAAGTAATATTGTCATTAACAGATTCGTCAAGCTTTCACAAATATATTTTTATTACCAGTCCTGTTGCAGTATCCAGATTCTACAAATCTTGCTCTCAATCTCTCTTAGCTAGGCATGCAATCAATGAAGTAAACTCTTTATCTTGTTTTCCATCTACATAGTTTGTTTTTTCTTTATTATTAACAAGACATTCATATTCACAAGCATAATGGCCATACTTGTGTAGATTATAACATCTAACATTACTTCTCATTCCTCCTTTTCTAGAACCACTACTCTTTTCATGCCCACTACTCTTTCCATGCCCTCTTATTGCTTGAGATTGCTAGCACTGCTAAAAATAAAAAATAAAAAAATTATTAGCAACTATCTAATTCATTGCAAATAAAATTAAAAATTTATTGCTAATAAAAATCAGTAATGATATCAGTAACCGATAATATTAGATACAAATAATAGATGTTAATTTCTCTGTAACAAATTATTCATTGTTTATTGGACATTTCTGTTCTTGCCCATTCTCCACGTACCATCAAGCAATCACAACTCATGAATCGGTATATTTAATAACCATGAAATTTTTCTATAAATCAATTAATACCTCAAAATCTATACAGAGTTTTACATTGACAAACCTAGAGGACCAATATGTACAATCTAAAAACTTGAAAACTCATGTGGAGGGTTCAACGATGTGAGATTATGTGAGATTAGAAAGAAAAAAGAGCAAAAGTAGTGATGTTAAGAAATTAAAAATGTAAATTAATAGCTTTACTTTTAACTAGAATGAAGATACATAGTAATAAATAAAGAATGTAAGTAAATATAAGATTCCAACCTTAAATTTAATTTAATTTTTTTTTAATATGCTCTAACAAGCAATAAACTGCTAAACATTCACGGCAAAACATAACTTTAACTATGAGATTTCTTGAAAGAAAGTACTACTAATGTTTTATTTTTAAGCATGTGACTGAAATAAGTTGAAATTCCAATCCTCAAATAGCTCCTATCTCATATGCGGATTACACTGTTAACCAGATTAACATTCCTTTTCTTCTGTCCATGCTAGCTCCACCGATGATCACTGTCACTTTACCTTCTAGCCTATAAATTCCACACGATAGGATGAAGACAAGATATGACTGGTTAGGTTTTAGTCCATGTCTTAATTAAGAACTAAAAGAACAAATCTAGAGCAGGTAAGCATTACATTTATTTTATAGCAAGTTGGTTGAATTGATTCCTAGCTAGCTAGATTAAAGTGTTGGAAGGTGATAAAACTAATATTACTTTCTTGTAAATATTGTAGCAAAACACTTCCTATGTTAATCTGATCACTTGGAGCTAGAAATGGTATTGCAAGAGTAAATGTTAATCTGTTCCATATTAATGTATAAACTTAATTAATTAAATGTATAAATAACCCATTACTAGAGTAGAAGTGGCGATGCCCTATTCATTGTATATGCAATATTTAACGCTCCAGCTTACGGCGCGTTCGTCTTCAAACACAGA